GGCCTATTTCATGTTAAATAGGCCGAGTTTTCGGGAGTTACTGATGTTACTGGGATACTTTCACACATGAGGCACAGCTATTCCAGGCTCCTCGGTACTGGGCCGCTCAGTAGTACTTATCGCTTGTTTAGTGTGTGTGTTTCACATCTTTGGAGGCCGCCCGAGTGGTCGTTTACTTTCTTGCATTTAACACTCATCAATCTGCGGCATCCGTCAGCTTGTTAGCAAGGCCCTGCCCACCGGATTTTGCTTTTGCGGGATGTTGCAATGATTTCTTGCCCGTTGCTCATCTGACAGAGAATGCAACAAGCCAAGCAACCTTTATTCCACTGCTATCTCCGCCGCTGCTAGCGCCCTCTCTTTAATTTTCGACAGTGGCCACGTTTCGCATCTGTGAGTCGCTGTCTTCAGCACTGTGGTATCGAAGAGGTGAGCTTTTAGTTCAATACTTTTAGGATAGCGAGGATGTGAAATATCTGTCGATCAATAGCCCATCCATGTGCAGTCGCCGAACTGTGACGCAGATTCACTTCTTGGTTAAGATGGACGTAGTTGTCAGCTTCTTCCACGTTAGCAACCAAGCCTCCAGCAGACCGGCACTTTGTGTTAGTTCCACTTTCGATACGTTAATTTTCAAGCTCGCTTCCTTGCTTCATGCATCAGTCTTTTGTGGCATATCATAAATATCTTTACACGTCTTTTTAGAAAACTTCTTATATTCAAGGCATTTTTTAAGCATTTAAGTCTGGTATCAATTTTTCAAGTCATTTGAACTTCTGCAATTTAAAAGACCTGTGCCTTGTATAACAGAGCACATTTTGTAAAATTAGTACAAATTGGCAAATTTCGGGGTCTTGAAACGTTTTTCAAAGTAACAAGCAGTAATCACGAAAACATAAAACTGAATCAGTGTAATTCAAGTAAAATATCGGAAGATTCAAACGAACCGTTAGTGGAAGTGAGAAGCGTGTTAAGGGCCTGGACAGCATGAGTGTCTTTGCTTCCTAGCGATCCGCGAATAGCTACAGGATGCAAATCACTAGTGCTGCTACTGCGACTGCTTGTCCGAAGTTTTGTATCGCTGGGATCAGTTTCTTCGGCGACAGATTCCTGTGCTCGACCCGTTAGCAAGGCTCCATTGGCCGTCTGATCTGGGCTTTCCAGCGACATCTCAACCACAAACTACAGATCCATCATCAAGCGTATCCTGTTAGTGCCACTGCTAGTAAAATTTTCATTAAAATAATGTAAAGATGCAAGGTATCGCTAACGTAATGTATACGTTCAAAGCTCATAATTTGCGGAATGGGAAGAAACGGCGGCAAAGAGAGACGAGCAGTTAAAATTGTCGAAAATATTAAATCGCCAGGAGACCAACTGGTAAAGGTAGTCCGGATCGGGATAGAAATCGAGGCGTTGAAGTTCACCATCAGCCAGGGCGCGTGTACTAAGCTAAACATACAATAGTCAGCAGCGTGGCTTTTGAGGGTAATAGGTTTCAGCGCATTCAGAAAACACGGCATAATACTGAATATTAGAATGTCACAACTACCTTCGTATTAACACTCTTTGAGAGACAAGAGCATTTTGGAATTAGTTTGTTCGGTAGCAAAAAGCAACTACGTTTTGGAAAGGTTGTCATTGGCTTCCTCTTTCGAGGGTTGCTTACAAGCAAGCTGATGATAGATTTGACTCAGTGTCATATGTCAACACCAGTTTATTATCTAAACGAATGAACGAATCTTACGCCTGGTTTTGCCACCGGCGAAGTAGAAGTCACAAGCTAATGCACGAAAATAGTTTTACTTCCCACTGCACAACGTAAAATGTCAGTTAAGAATGAAAAACCACACTGGAACGCACTACGCTCGCCGACGCGATCATACGTTTTTGCGCTAAAACTTGTAGTATCCAGGCCGTTAATTGCATGAATGATTGTTGCTTTACTTGTGCACTTATTGCCACAAATCACCGTAAGTTTTGCATAAATGAAAACTAATAATTTCCGTTGAGCGGTCGATCGTTGAAAATGCCTGGCATTTCTGGTTTCCAAGATAGTCAGTACTCGCTCTACGCGCGTACCCTACGAACTGAATTTGGAATTTATAAATTGTTTGAGAACAAGGGAAATCCTCTCAAAATTTCATCTCTCCAGCTTTTCTAGTTTCTCACTTAGTAATTTTCCCACCAAAACTTTCATGTGCCTAGACGTGAGGCTCAGACGTGCTTGAAAGTTGCTACCACGTTCCTAGAGCCACACGTAGCAAGAGAACCCACTGGCGTAATTTCAGCATTAAAGCCTGCTTGATTGCCGAGTTGAAATATATGAACAGACGTACACACACCCATACACGCATATACTGGTCATCACAATGTGCGCCTTTGCATTTGCTTATTTGCAAAAATGCATAATGGGGTGTTATCTTACGTTAAATTTTAAGCGCATCAGTATTTTTAGTGCTTAACCACTTATACCTTAGAAAGGCCCTTTAAATGCGAAAATAAAAGCACTAAATAGATTCATACAGCTCGATTTCCCTGGTGCAACATCCATGCTTGAACAACATGCGAACACTAAGCTTTGGTCGTCTGTGGAACTTTTGCACTTATGCAAATTAAGAAGCGGAAATTGATGAAATTTCCTGGATACAGTCCCTTTAGGAGGCCAAATAAATGCCAAGACTGCCTGCAGCTTGTCCACGAATGCTGCACTTATCAAAACAAACTGGAAAAGTTGCTAGCGATATTAACGAATCATGCCGTGCCCACAGCTAATCAAAGTGCTGGAGTGTAACAAAGTTCTTTGTCTCCAAGCAAACGTTCATTTCATTTTCGCTCTGCCTATCTAACTGAATAAGATGGTCTGTGAAAGTTCTGAGCCCCAGGTTCTCAGAGATCGCAATCCATGGCCTTTTAGGGATCGTAGAACCGAAAATAATTTTCCAGATATGAGAGAGGCATTTGACGTCATTCATCAGTCTTTACTGTTTCCTAGGCAGCCTCTTTTCTGGATTAAAACGTAGGACAGAATTTAAAATAACAGGGCGGCAGAGTTTCAGTCCCCTTCCCGCGCTTTGCCCGCAGGGAATATTTATGTGTTTTTCCAATCCACAAGCGATACAATCACAATAATCCCGGGAATATTTCCGCGTCCGTTCGTTCAGCTACTGGAAAAATTCGTAGCTAACAATGTTTTAAATCGCTAAAACAATCAAGTTGTAACGTGCGGAGGACTGACCTGAGTCAGATGTGCCTCTGGATGCGCTGATAATTCGCTCAAACAAACAATGCTTTATTTAAAAAAATAAAACAAAACAAACCAATGAAGCCGAAGGTGAGGCAAAATCGGCAGCAACTCCAGGCTGCTGCCGCATTAGCGTCTGCAGTGCAAGGGCGGAGGCACGGGAGAGGGAGGGAGGGGATAATGGCAGCTTCAAGCAGCCGCCAAATCACTGGAATACAAAAAATTATTCTTCATTTCTAATCACATCATTTATATATCACGGATGGGGAACTTGAGTCATGAGGCGGGACATTTGCATATCGCATGAAGCCGTACGGCATCTGGGCACGGCGAAGAGAATTAGCAATCAGTTTCATTCTTTGCTGATATTAGCACCTTCCTTTTGCGTCAAAGTGGGTATCCCATTTTAGTACCGGAATATCACATGCACCAGGTCATTCGATCTTGGGCTGCATATCAGCAGTTTATAACGAATGCTTTGGATTGCCGTACTTACCAATGT